ATACTAGCTATTATTATTAACAACTCTCTGGGCACCATGTAGCAGCAAATTGATAGTACTTCCCCTGAAGCAAGTGTTATCACTGGGACCCAAACCTTTTAACTTTATATTCTAAGTACACCATTATGGTATTTGCCAAAAAAGGATAACTTTGTCTTCTCTTTACTGATGTTTTTCTCTTGGTAGAGTATAAACAGAAGCTAGCATTTCTGTATATTGGGATACCCCACCCATTCTAACAGCCTCACGAACTCTAGACTTGAGCCTGAGTGGCATATAACAGATACTACATCAGTACAGACTAATGCTGCTATTTAATACTTTTAGACCTCAAAGTGACTCCGAGGTCTTTTGCTTCCCCTAGAGTGGTGGTTCTCAAAGTGTGGTTTGAGTTCCCTGGAGGATGATCCCCAGACCTTTTTAGTGGGTCCACGAAGTCAAAACTAATTTCACAATAATACTAAGATATTATTTGCCTATTAAAATGTTTCTCTCTCTTCCATAACTGTGTTACCTAAAACAATATATCTCAGTAGTTTAAACACAGAAGCACATATGGGAATCCAGCTGTCTGAAGCCAGACATTAAAGAGATTTGCAAAAATATGTAAAAATATGCCACTCTTCTCACTGTTTTTGTTCTGAAAAACATAGTTACTTTTCATGAGATATATTATTTATGTTAACATGTGATGAATTTGTTTATTTTAAAATGAATCGATAAATATTTTAGTTTTGATTAATTAAATTATTATTTGATTATAATTATAAAATATTTTATTAATGTGATTAATAAATATTTTCCTTTTCATTTCTATCACATAAGCATCAATTGATACAACCAACATTAACAAAAACTCTTCGGAGTCTTCAATAATTGAGGATCACTGTCCTAAAGATATATCTCAAAATTACAGTGACTTTCTCCAAAGATTGACTGTTCAATAGTTTTAAAGAGTAGGGTTCTAAGGCAGCTAAGTGGTGCAGTGGAAGAGTACCAACCTTGGAGTCAAGAGGATCTGACTTCAAATTTGGCTTTGGACACATACTAGCTGTGTGACCCTAGGCAAGTCACTTAACCCTGATTGCCTTAAAAAAAAAAAAAAAAAGAATGAAGGAGTCCTGAAACCGGAACATTTTAGAATCACTGCCTTATAACCCATAAAGATATGTGTCAAAATTAAAGTAAATCTTATTCCAAAGATAATATTATTGGCCCTTGAAGCCCCTCTTCTCAAAGACCTCGGTTAGTGGATCTTTTCTGGAATCTTTCATGGCTATTTTGAACTGAACCAAAAGCTTTCCTAAATATAGCCGGTTCCCAGGAGATCCCTATTTGCCCAGACTAGGGCCATTGTAGCCTAAAGCTTCTAGCCCTCCAGGTCACACTCTAGAGCTTGGCCAATGTGTCTTGAGGCCTCAAAGAAGCCCCAGTCTCTGAAAGCTCATGCCATGGGGTGCTGGTGGTGATGAGAGCCATCTTGAGTCTTCTAGTAAATGACTCATGAGGTCATGAGGGTTACAACAACCACCAAAAAGAAAATGGTGGCTAATCACGGGACACCCCGAGGATGCCCTTCAGACATGGTGTTATTCCATGGGGTTAGGTCAGTCATGACACCCTCCAGGGTTCCTGAGATGTCAGGGACCCTTGTTTCCTGAGGTTAATTTCTATTGTGAAGCTGGAGAAGGCTGAGGGGTGGTCTGCTGTGGGAGTCAATGACTCTCAAGTGCCTTTCACTGGATGATGCCATGTAGGAGCAGCATTTGAGCATCTAGAAAACACTACTGATAAAAGGTCTTTCCATTTCAAGTACAGAAGAGATTATGGTGTGTGTGTGTGTGTGTGTGTGTGTGAGAGAGAGAGAGAGAGAGAGAGAGAGGGAGAGGGAGACAGATGGAGACAGAGAGAGGGAGGGGGAGAGAGGCAGAAAAAGACACAGAGAGAGCTTCTTTGTTCTTTTTCCCTTCCATTCAGTGACTGTCGCCTTTTTAAACCCTTGTTTCTAAAGCTGTTTGGATTTCTATTCATTTCCTTTGTGGCATTTTTTTACTGCGGAGGAGGGGAAAGTGAGATTTATATTGTAATACCCAGAATGCTTGACATGTAATTCCTCACGTATATTCTGGTACAAGTGACTTGGTGCTCTGTACCCCTGCTGCTTTGTCTGGTATGTCGATCTTCATTGTCTCCTGAGGGCATTGCTCAGAAGTTTCCTGACAGATGCTCCAGTTTCCAAACTTGTAATTCCTTTCTTCAGTTGCCAGAATGAGTGGTATTCATTTGTTTCTGTTACTATTTTCCCTAAACATTTAGTACTGTGAGAACCCTCAAATATTAATAATAGCACCAGAAATGGAAAGCTGGCCATAAGGGCAAAACTTGGGTACCCGAGGTTTCTCCAAAGGTCCTAAACAATAACAAAAATACAGTTATTGAGGTTGGTGATGATTCTGCCTGTCTGCAACAGAAAGACAAAGGCCTTGTTAGGAGCACCACCCTCTGTCTTTTCAGAGAAGACAATGAAATAACTGATTTCCTGCTGTGGGTACCATGCCCATAACTTCCTGTAGGAGAAGGAGCTCTCTGTGTGTGAAGTTATAAGAAACGGACTTCCTTTGCTTTGTGGCTAAAATTAAAATCTATAGGATTTAACTCTAGGAATACTGTTATTTCCATTTTCTTCTATCTCTTGTCATTCTTTTGATTTTGTTTGACTGATTCCCGGTGTCTCATAGAGTCATTAGCTTCCACTTGTCCAATTCTAATTTTGAATGAATTGTTTTCTTCAGTTAGCTTTTGTACCCCCTTTTCCATTTGGCCAGTTCTACTTTTTAAGGAGTTGTTTTCTTCAATGTACTTTTTTTCCTTTTTGTCAGCTGTATTTTTAAAGGAATTGTTCAGTTTTTCTTCCACTTCTCTTATTTGACTTTTAAAATCCTTCCTGAGCTCTTCTGAGAAGGTTTTTCGGGCTTGAGGCCAGTTCACATTCCCCTTTGAGGTTTCGGGTGTGGGTATATTGACAATGTTGTCCTCTCCTGAATTTGTGTTTTGATCTTCCCTGTCATCAAGATACTTCTCCATGGTCATTGTTTTTCTTTGTTGCTTTTTGGTCATGGTGTTTGCCTTTTTCCTGGCTTTTAAAGTTGATCTCTGCTCCTGGGGCACAGAGTGCACTGTCCCACGCTTCTTGTGCCGGGAGCTAGGGGCCTGGTCACTGACTTTGTGTGGCGGGCCTCAGGTGCTGGCGGCTGGAGGCTGTAGGAGTCTGGTAGCTTACCTAGTGCTGAACTGGAGCTGGTGGTGGTGTGTGCTGAGGCTGGGTGGGGCCCTTCCGCATTTCCCTGGGGTTACACTGAAGCTCGAGGGGTGCAGCCTCAGGGTGATCTGGCTGCTGGAGGTTACCCCTTCACCTGGGGTTGTACTCGAGCATGAGTAAGTTCAGCTGTTGGTGGATGCTTGTCCACTAGTGCACGTGGTGGTTCCTTGAGCTTGTGTCTACCAATTCCCCTGGCTGTGCCAAGGCACGTGGGTCAGGGGGAGGGTCCTGGTGTTGGCACTTGTCCGCTCCACCACCCTGGGGCTCAGGATCTCCCACTGGTTTGCTGAGGTGGGGCTTGCCACTGGCTTGCTGGGATGCCTCTTGTTCTGTACCGGTCCCCTTCAGCCACAGCAAGAGGGACCTTTCCGTTAATCCCCCTAGCCTCCCAAGCTAAAAGATTGCTGTACCTTGTCTTTCTGCTGGCTCCACTATTCCAAGATTTTTCCTGAGGCAACATTCTCCGGGTTTTTCAAGGTCAACAAGGGAGGGTGAGAGTGATTTACTGCTTACTCCGCCATTGTGGCTCCCGGAAATCTAAATAGGTGACTTTCAATAACTCCGTCTGTGGGCTGATAGCTCCAGAAACAGCTGCTGCCACTGCCTATTCAGTCACTCCCAAGGCCTGCTCCTGGTTTGCTGGGGCCAGAGCTGTACTGGTACAGCCTGTACTGGACTGTGCTACTCTCTCATCCGGGTCCAACAGACTCCTCCTGCTGACCTTCTAAGTTGTTTCTGGAGTCTGTGGGTTGAGAAATTTGGAAACCGCCACTACTGCCAGTGAGTCAGTCCTCCGGGGCCTGCTCTGGTTTTGCCGGGACTGGGTCTGCACTGGCACAGCCGACTTGGGCTCTCCTCCTCTCTCAGCCTGGTGCAACAGACCTTTTGACCTTCCAGGTTGTCTCGGGCTGTAAATTTGTTTCACTCTGTCTTCCTGTGGGCTCTGCTGCTCTAGAACTTGTTCAGTCACTTTTTAAAGGTATTTGAAGGGGTTTGGGGGGAAAGCTCAGGTGAGTCCCTGCCTTCACTCTGCCATCTTGGTTCTACCCCAACACTATTGCTATTTCAACAATCATAATAGCTAGCATTTATATAGTGCTATGAAGTCTACAAAGCACATAAATATGATCACATTTTATATTCAGAAAACCTGGGGGTAGGTACTATTATTGTCCCCATTAAAAAAAAAAGTGATTAGTTGTGTCCAACTCTTCATGACCCCATTTGGGGTTTTCTTGGCAAAGATACTTGAGTGGTTTGCCATTGCCTTCTCCAGCTCATTTTACAGATGAGGAAACTGAGGCAAATAGGGTTAAGTGACTTGCCTGGGGCCACACAGCTAGTAAGTATCTAAAGCCAATTTTGAACTTAGGTCTTCCTGACTTCAAGGCTGGTACTCTAACCACTTTGCCACCTAGCTGCCTCATTTTGCAGGAGGAGAAACTGAGGCAAGCAGAGGTTATTGAGTGACTTGCCCAGGACTGAACAGCTAGTAAGTGTCTGAGACTAGATTTTAACTCAGATCTTCCTGATTTCTTCTGGGCCCAGGGCTCTATCCACTGTGTCACAAGGAAAGTAAATATGGTTGAACCCTCCCCCCCAAAACCCTGAAAAAAAGTGAGCTGTATTTGTCAGGAGGGAATTATTCCTCAGTAATCTGTCTCTTTTCCCTTTATTTCAGTGGAGCAGGCATGGATGGGAAGAAATGCAGCGTGTGGATGTTTTTACCCCTTGTTTTCACCCTGTTTACTTCAGCTGGACTCTGGATAGTGTAAGTGGCTTGCCATTCATTCAGGTATCTGGGGATCCAGATGCCAGGATAAACATGGGAGAATGAACATGGAAGGATTCTTTGTCCCATCCCACTGCTCACTACCCTGCATTTCATGGCCTCAGTGAAGTTGATAGGAACCCTAGCGATCCCTTCACTTCACAGATGAGGAAATCGAGGGCCAGGGAATTATGAAATGCTTGGCAAAACATACTCCCTTCTTCTTGCTAAATTCCTTTACGGGGAGGGAGGGGGAAGGGAAAGAGAAACTATACAAGGCATCTGTTGATAACTACTGATAATTTATTTAATTTTATTAGTAAATGTAAAACAGTTTATGACCTGGTAACATTTTAAAAATTTACTTGTAGCAAAATGACTAACATGGAATTGTTTTATTTGATTGCATGTGTATAACCTGTGTCAGACCGCTTACTGTCTCAGGAAGGGAGGAGGGAAGAAAGGGAGGGATGGAACTCAAAACTAAAAATAAAAAAGAATGTTAAATAAATAAATGAATGCATACATGGATTGACTTGCAAGTTTTACTCCTCTGACCTTGGTAGAACAAGGATTTATTCCATAGTCTCATTCATAGGTAGTGATCCATGCAGAGGTAAAAGTTAAATTCGAGTCATCACAATAGATTTAGAGCAAACTCCTTCATCTTACAAATGAGGAAACTGAGGCTCAGAGAAATGAACATTCTTGCCCAAGATCACACAGGCAGTGAATGACAGAGCCAACATTTGAACTCAAAGCTTCTGATGCCAAAGTCAGTGCTTTTCCACACACTAAATATTATAATGAAATCATACACACACACATACGTGTAATACACACATAAATACATTCTCAATAACTCATCATTCAATAAACCAATCTCATAAGAGCATTTTTGGCTTAACCTTTGTTGACAGTGAATTTTTGAGAGAACGTAACTGATTCCATCCTGTATGCGCCATTTTGAAACGTATGATCTATCCAAAGGCAACAGCTAATTCTCTTCAGTGTCTTTCTTTGCTCCCCTAATTGGTACAAAAAGATTTGCCTTAACAAAAGGGTGGATTTCAGGCTCTGGAATGTTCCCTTCACTTATCTAATCTGTCAGATAGTTCCCTCTGATTGAGTGAAAGCAGCCATCCTAACAAAGACATATCCCTCATCTATCTCCTTAACAAGTATATTTTATTTCTTTTTATAACTAGTTGCTCTATAGCAAGCAGCTGTTTTTTCTTACTTTTTTTCATGTAATAATGTATATAATAGTATATATTATTATATATAATAGTAGTATATAACATATAGAATATAATATATAATAGTAGCATAAAATGGTAGTATATATGTATATGTGTTATATATATATAAAATAGTAGTAGCATTAAAACTATATCTAAATATATATATAAAATAGTAGTAGTAGAAAAACTATATATATGTGTGTGTATATATATATATATAAAATAGTAGTAGTATAAAAGCTACTAGCTGACTTGTGAAGGTTATTCATTCCCATCACCTGTTGGTAGGGTGGGTCATATGTATTCTGGATATAATAAAACTCATCATTCTGATTCATTCTTATTTGCACTAGCTAGTCAAACAATGTCTAAATTCACGCAACAGTCAAAAACACAAATTACCTGAGGAAGAACTCTGTATTTGATACGAATTAAAAAGTACTGCTCCAAGTCACTAGGGAGAGAAATGCAAATCAAAACAACTGAGGTTTCAACTCATACCCACTAATTAGCAAAGATGACAAAAGATGGGAAGAGTCAGTGTTGGAAGGGTTATAGAAAAACAGGGGCACTAATGCATTGTTGGTGGAGCTGTAAATTTGCAAAAACTATTCTAAAAGGCAATTTGGAATTGGGCTAAGAAAGTGACTCAAATATTCATATCCTCTGACCCAGAGATCTTCCTGTCAGGCATATAATCCAAAGAGGTCAATGATCAAAAGAAAGGCATACATGGTAAATGCCAAGAGGTATATGATTTACAAGTATATATGGAACGCCAAATATTTAGAACAATGTTTTTTTGTAGTAGCAAAGAACTTGAAACAAATAGGTGCCCTGTGGTTGGGGAATGGCCAAAGAAGCTGTAGTATGTGTATATAATAGAATTTCACTCTGCTGTAAGAATTGGTGACCATGATGAACACAGAGAAGCCTGGGAAGACCTATATGAACTGATATAAAATGAAGTAAGCAGAACCAGGAAAATAATATAAATAACGACTACAACAAAACGAATGGAAAGAACAACAGAACAACCAAAACTGAATGTGAAATAATAATGATCAAACTTGACCCTAAAGAAGAGACGTGAGAATGCACCGCTGGCACCTCTTCTTGTAGAGGTGGAGAACTGTTGTTGTGGAACACTGCAATGTGTTGGCTAGCATTTGCTAAGCTTTCCCCCCTCTTTTTTATATGCTTTGTCATAAAAGATGGCTTCCCAGAAAGGGAAGAAATGGAAGGGAAATGTAGTTGATGTAAAAAATATCAATAAAAAGAAAATGCCAGGCATGCTCCCAATTCCTAGGAAATGGCCACCTGATTTCAGGCAACTTAAAGGCAAGAAAAATTCGATTTAAGCCAAAAAATGGGGGGCAGTTAACTGAACTGCCCTTTGGAGTCATTCCCTTATAATCCTGGTTTTGCCGCTTGCAAAAGAGAGAGGTCTACTCTCTTCACATCTCGCTTCCTCTTTCCGGAATGATTTTATGTCATCTAGGTCAGGGGTATGCATTGAGGACTAAGATGATATTAGTGGAACTTTTGACTTCCATGGTTAAATGAAATCTAGTGATAGTCATTGAGAAATCAGTTAATTAGATAAATAATTTCATTCATTTTTCTAATAAATTTAATAAATTTCTAATAAAACCATGAACCAAGAGAAATCATTCTCATCTCTCTCTTTCTTTCTCTCTCTGTCTCTCTCTCTCTCTCTAGATACTTCATAGCTGTGGAAGATAACAAAATTTTCTCTTTAAATGCACCCGAAAGGTAAAGTGTATCTCTGTTGTTTTACTTCTGTTCATTAAGCTCAGCAAAAAGTTCACCAGTGGGTGAAGCTCACCTTTGAACTAAAAAATCAGTCCTTTAATGTGGGCTTCCCTGTTTTATATTCTCTAGGAAACCTGGTCAGAAACACGCACCCTATATAAGGTAATTGGCTGCTTCCTGTTTCGGGTCTTTGTGGAAGGGAGGGGGTGATGTGCCCACAGGGAAGGAGAATTTGAGCCCAGCTCTAATGAAACTTTTTTTTTTAAGTATTGCAGGTGATGAACCTCCTGCAAGCTGTGTGTTTAGTCAAGTGATGAACATGGCAGCGTTTCTTGGTAAGAACAACATGAAGAATGGTTTGTTTACTTATGGGGATATATGTTCTTTTAAAAGATTCTTCTTTTTTAATTTAATATTTTATTTTTTTCTCCAATCACATGTAAAATAGTTTTAACATTCTTTTTTTTTTTCCAAGTTAAAAGATTCTTCTAAGCCCGAGTCAAGCGCATTTCATGCTGCTCTTCCAACATGCTGAAATGGCCTTTTGTTTCTGTTCTGCACAAAAATGCAATTTAATGTGAATGCAATTATATGGCAAAGAATGTCATCTTTACTCTTCTCCCTTCCCACTCCCTGCTGTAAAGATGAAAAGCATTCCAGGGTTCTTTTGAATGTGGCAAATGAATTCAGAAAAACATTTGGTTTGTGCAGATACTATTAGCTTTATGTCCAAAGCTCAATAGTAGCATCAGAGAGGCATCCTCTGATGTTGTCCTAGAAGCTGTGAAGTAACCAAAATAATCTCTCTTGTTCATAGCCTCTTCTCTAACACCATTTTGGGGAACATCTGTCTTCTCTTTCCTAGGATCCAATGTCCCCACAGTGTAATGCATCAACCCTAATTGAATCTCCTTTATGGGTAGCACATGTAAATGGAGCCAGCAGATGTCGCTATAGTGGGCAAAATTGGCAAACCATTACTGACTTTTTTATTCCCTCCTCCCTTTATGGAAGGGGGCAGAGGGAAATCCTGCCTGGCCATGCCCATCCTCTCCCATGGGCCGGCTCAGCTCGGAGAGGGGACTTTCCCTTGTACTCCCCACCCTCTTTCTCCTAATCCCTCCCTCCTCGCTTTCCTCTCTGGTCCCCTCCCTCTCTTGTTGAGAAATTAAGAGTGATTGATAAAGTTATACCCCCAGGAAGGCTGTGGCTGCCATGCTGGAATGGAAAATTCTGCATAGTCAACTAGGTAATGACTTTCCAGCCAGGTTTGAACCTATAAGACTCAGCTTTTCATGCCCAGCCAGAGGTTTTATAATATGCAGAAAAAGTAAAGTCATTCTGAAGGCATAATTAAAGCACAGCAAAGACAAATCACAAACTGAAGCCAGATAGTAAAATAAAGCATAGGAGAGAGACGATGGAAGGGAGAAACATGTCTGGAGTTCTTGGGGTCTCAAAAGGGTGGCCACCCCCTGGCAAAACATAATCGGTGTTCCCTTGTTCAAAGAGGGAAACTCTTGCAGCCAGCAGCCTCCAGGCTTAGTTGGTAACTGTGATCAACATAACGGATTGCCACAACTCAGCTCCCCGGCTGACCCGGAGAGATCTTTTAAAATCTGCATCTGGCCCAGCCTCGGCTCCCCATTTCTTCCCCAGGGTGGTGAATTACGACTCCCAAAACGCTTAGCTAGAATTCAAACACTGAACCTTGCAGGACAACCAGCCCAAGGCCTGATTACAGAAGCCTCCTGTGCTCCCCTTCTAATCCTAAAACTTGGGTTTCATAGCTCATTCCTTCAAGCCAGGCTTTCATTATACCTTCCACACTCTTACGACAACAATCTACCATCATAAATACCTATTATGATCATACTGGCATCTACCTTCTAGGGCCTGTGGGTATCAAATGAGGTAATATTTGTAAAGCACTTAGGACTGTGCCTAGCACAAAGCAGGTGTTTAATAAATACTTGTTTCCTTGTTTACTTCTGCCTTCCTCTCTCCCTTCCTTCTTCCTTCCTTTCTTTCCTTCCTCCCACCCTCCTGTCCTTCCTTTCCTCTCTTTCTTGCTCCCTCCATCCTTTCTTTCCTTCTTCCTTCCTTTCCTTCCTTTCTCCTTCCCTTTTTCCCTTCCTTCCTTCCTTCCTTCCTTCTAACTCCAAGGCCAATGCTCTTTCCATGACAACATAAATGAACTTTCCTCTATTTCATAAAGTAGTCCTACTGGGCACAAACCTACATATTGGACAATTTTAGGGCTGCCTTATCCTCATTCAAGTACAAGGATACTAATCCATATGTTGGAGTCACAAACTGCTCCTTCCGTAGTCTTAAAAATAGGTCTCACATTCTCAATGTTTTCCATTTTTCTTTAGTGTTATTTTTAAAAAATCATAGCTAGGCCCACTAGGTAGTGCAGTGGATAGAGCACTGGCCCTGAAGTCAGGAAAACCTAAGATAAAATCTTGTGTCAGACACATATCAGTTGTGTGACCCCGGGCAAGTCACTTAACTCTGATTGCCTCCAAAATAAAACAAAAAAAATTTAAAAAAATCATAATTTATGAACAGCCCAGCAAAGTGATTCATATGCAAAGCCTCCAGTTAATTGCTGAAGTATTACCAATTTTCTAACACCAAACACATCCTTCACTTTCTTAAATTTCAACCACTCTCTGCTCCCCTAGGATGCAAATGATGTGAATTGTTTTTTCCTAATTTTAGCACAAAGGCGGCATGTGGTGTTCTTTTTTTTTTTCTTTTTCATCTTTCATTATGCTTAGTGCCATATGGTACATGCAGAACTCCTCACAAGGAGTGTTTGGGGAGAATGGAACTCACGGGTGATGTGTCTCTTTTGGTGTGGAAGGCAGCTCTTCCCTAAATGATTTTTCTGCTCTAGCTGCAAATACTTTCTTTTCTCTGCTCAAATCCCTTACTTGGGATTATATCATCGATCCCCAACCGGAAGGGACCTCTGAGATCATCTAATCTAATAGCCTCATTTTACAGATGAGAAGACTGAGGGGCAAGGACGCTGACTGGCCTGACTTGATCTGACTTTATTCGGGGCACAACGGTAGTGAGTGATACAGGCAGGATTTGAACCTAAGCCCTTTGCTGCCAGAGCCTGGTGCTCTTTCCACTAAATCAAGCTAACTAATAACAACAAACAAATCACCTGCATTTGTCCATCAGTCGGCATGCTTTGGCAGCCTTATATGACACAGCACACCATTTACAAATGGGTCTGTACAATGTTTATTCAGATTCAGGGAGCCTCTATCTTCTAGACAGACTAAGCAAAGATTGAACACTTGGTTATTTTCCTTCCTGGAGTTAGGAAACCCAAGTTCAAATCCAGCCTCAAACACTAGCTCTGTGACCTTGGGCAAGTCACTTAACCTCTGTCTGCCTTAGTTTCCTCGGCTGTAAGATGGGGATAATAATAGCACCTAGCTCCAGAATTGTTGTGAGGATCAAATGAGAAAATTTTTTTGTAAATTTGTAAAATTTACTTTGTAAAGCCTGGCACACAGTAGGCACTTGATACATGTTTTTCTTGTCTTTCTTTCTTTCCCTCCTTCCTTCATCTTCTTCCTTCCTTCCTTCCCTCCTTCCCTCCCTCCCTCCTTCTTTCTCTCCTTCCTACCTTTCTTCTTACCTTCCAAAATTGACAACTCCAACAGGCCCCTATCTCCCCTAAACATTGAAGCAGTAAGACATTAATAAGCATCCTGTCTCCTAAGGGACATTATTGTATGCCTTAGAGTGGCTATGAGGAATAAGACTAAAACTGAATTATTTGTTACCTAAATAATGTCACTTTGCTCCCGCCTAACCTTTACCCCAAATAGATTGATTGCCGCATCCTGCTGCAATCATAAATAGAAATTACAGATGGATAAATAGTGAAACAAGAATTTGGCCATGGACTGGAAAAGAACTGCTGATAGAAGAATTTATAATAAGTCTTCCTCCGACGCAGATGATATGAATGGGGAAGGGGGAGGGGGGAGGGCGAGGATGTGATTTTCTGAGCGCCGAAAGCAGAATGGGAAAGATCTGTCTTTTCATTTCTTCTAAAATGTAATGTTAGACCTAAAAGCTAAAATGAAAATTGCTGGCTCTTTCTTTTAAAGGTTTTTATTTTAATTAATTATTCCTACTAAGTAGGTGCCATGCTCTCATCTTTTTTTTTTCAATGCAGAAAGCTAATTAGTGCCCTCTAAATTTCAGTGCCTATGTGACAAAGCCTCTGCCTCTCCACCCTAGTTAGGCTCCACTGGACACATAATTAGGGCCGTAATTAGGTAGGAATTTCTAGACTTTTTCGGTGTAACTAGTAAAGACCCAGAGAGTTCAGCTTTTGAAAAGTAATGCCAACTGTGTCTTTTCAACCCACCAGTACCGAGTCCAGTTAAGGCCCGAATCAATTTAGACACTGGATAGGTATCACTTTGTTTCGGGCTTTTATTGTATTCATATACGAATTGCTAGCTAAAGCCAGCAATTCAGTATCTTTGAGGAGTTGCTCACCAGCCCCCAGTGGCTTTGCCGTTTGCTTGGGTTAACCCAGTGGCCAAGCTCCTTTGTCATGGTGGACAAGGTCATGACCCCAACCCCCACTGGAACCTGCCCCAAAGAGTATCTCACTGCCAGCTGTCATGCTGATTTGGGGAACAGAACTTTAACCACAACATAACTGAGTTGTGCTATGTGGGGGGCCAGGATGGGGAGATACTGCTCATAATAAGGTGTTCCTTTCTAGTCATCAAACTCAGGGCCACAACTCCACCTTCTAAGGCCAGTTCTCTGCTCCAACGACCTAGATAGATGGTGTCTCCAGTTTTCAAATGTTAGTAATTCACTGAGTATTTTTCTTCACTGGTAAAGATTATTGAAATTAAACCAGATCAACAAGCATTTATTAAACTTTATATTACTATATATATGCTATACTATACTACTACTATGCTATAGTATATTCTACCAGTGATACAGCATATGCTATACTATACTATATATACTATATATTATATTATATATTGCTATATACATTATATATTACTATGTACCAGGTAAGCCCTGCTAAGCCCTATAATGAAAAGCAAAAATAGTTCCAGGACAGCCCGCTTGTAGAAGGTGAGATTTTATCTGAGACTTGAAAGAAGCCTGAGAAGCCAGGAAGTAAAGGTAAGGAGGAAGTAAACCCCATGGAGGACAACCAGTGAAAATGCCCAGTCAGGAGGAGTGCCCTGTGTGAGGAGCAGTAAGGAGGCCAGTGTCAATGGATTAGGGAGTACGTGGAAAACTAGGGAGGGGACAGGCTTCACAAAGACTTTACAAGTGGATTTCCTATTTGGTCCTTGATGTAATAGAGAGTTACTGAAGTTGATTGAATAAGAGGCGGACATGGTCAGAGCTGCTCTTTGGGAAAATCGCTGAGAGCTGAGTGAAGGATGAAGTGAAGTCAGGAGAGATTTGTGGCAGGCCCACCAGCGGCTACTCCAGTAGACCAGGCATGAGGTGATGAGGGCCTGCCCCAGGATGGTGGCAGTGCTGGAGGAGAGGAGAGGGCATGTACAACTGATGTTATGAAGACATCATTGACGTAACAAATTGGATATGGGAGGACAGAGATTGAGGAGTGGAGGATGATGCCTAGGATTTGAGTTGGGGTGACTGGGAGAATGGGGGTGCCCTCGAGAGTAATAGGGAAGTTTAAAAAGAGGGAAAGGCTTGGAAGGGGAAGATAATAAGTTCCCTTTTGGACATGCTAAGTTTGATAAGTCTATGGGACATCTAGTTTGAGATTTCCAAAAGGCAGTTGGAGATATGAGACTTTTATTGTTGTTCAGCCATTTCAGTCATGTCTAACTCTTCATGACCTCATTTGGGGTTTTCTTGGCAAACATACTGGAGTGGTTTGCTGTTTCCTTCTCCAGCTTGTTTTACAGATGAGGAAACTGAGGCAAACAGGGTTAAGTGACTTGCCTAGGGTCACACAGCTAGTAAATGTGCGAGGCCAAATTTGAACTCAGGAACATGAATCTTCCCGGGCCCAGCACTCTATCCACTGTGCCACCTAGATTAGGGCAGGATAAATCTATCCTGAGAATTATCTGCATAGAGTTGATAGATGAATCCATAGGAGCTGATGAAATCAAGTGAAATAATATAGATGGAGGAAAGAAAAGGGCTCATGACAGAGTTTTGGGGGACACTGATAATTAGTAGTCATGACCTAAATATAATTATTAATCTGAGAGTGCTTTTACAGGAAAGACAAATACAGAGGGAAAGACTTCACCATGACTCTTCACAACCCCCATCAATCACCTTTCCCTTCTACTTTCGTAACATTTTAAATATAATATATTAAAAATACCAGCCATCTACAGGAGAAAAATGTAAGTGACTTGCCCAAGGTCATGCAAGTAGGAAATGGTAAAGCAACAATCTGAGCTCAGATTTTGAACCCCAAGTAAAGCACAGTGTGAAGAGTATGAAGCTGACTTCAGCTGACAAGGGTCTCCTAAGCCTCTCTGGCCTGCACTGACCTTGTTTTCTGGAGCTCCAAGGATGTTATTTTGCAGCTCCCTCTTCCCTGCAATGCACAAACACATATGTCATCACTGCCCACTTGAGGTACAATCAGATTCCCCAAAGATAGCTTAACAACTCAAGCACCAAATGGAAATTTTCTCAATGATTATCAGTGTTGACGGGCATTTCTACACATATAGTATGAAGAGTATGCTATTGTGACTTCTAAATTTTATTTTGTGTTGTGTGTGTGTTTTTGTTTGAATTTTAGCCCTTGTGGTAGCAATTCTCCGCTTCATACAGTTGAAACCCAAAGTTTTGAACCCGTGGCTAAACGTGAGTGGCTTGGTGGCCCTGTGCCTGGCTTCCTTTGGAATGACATTACTCGGTAATTTTCAGGTACTTTCTTTTCTGCCTTTTCTCCTGCCCCATACTAGTTATGCTTTCATCTTACCTTTATTTCCAACATAACCACTAGATTCCTGCTTACTTAAATATGGCAGCCAACCATTTGCTTTTCCTGTATCTCTGTGAGTCTCTAGGAAGAAGTCTAAGGATGCTAATGGAAGCACATCACCCCCCCACCTCCAGTGGACTGAGAGGTCTGGATGGGTTTATTTTTGGGGGGAGGGGTATTCTTTCATTCTGTTCTGCCTTTGTTATGTATGTGTTTGGAACTGGGTGCTGGGAATAGGAGCATAGATTTCTCAGTGTCACTTAGACCAACCCCTTCATTTGACAGATAGAGAAACTGAGTCCAGAGCAGTAAAGTTAGTTACTAAGCAACTTGCTACCAGTAAGTGTCAGAGCTAGGATTTGAACTAAGGTTCTTCAATTCCAAATTCAATGTACTTTTACTATACCAGTGATGTCAAACTCTGCTAGCTGTATATTACCTTAGAAAACAACAAAGTAACATTATCTATGTTGTATTGTATTTTTATTTATTCTGTTCACATTTCCCAACATTGGCCCTCAATACAATGAACTTACTGGAAGGTAGCTGAGAAACAGGGCAGCTAGGGGGTGCCATAATGCATAGAGCACAGGGCCTGGAGTCAGGAATTCATCCTGAATTCAAATCTAGCCTCAGACACTTACTAGCTGTGTGACCCTGGGCAAGTCACTTCACCTTGTTTGCCTCAGTTTCCTCATCTGTAAAATGAGCTGCAGAAGGAAATGGCAAACCACCCCAGTATCTTCTGCCAAGAAAACCCCAAATGGCATCACAAAGAGTTGGAAAAACTGAAAAAAAAGACTGAAAAACATCTATCCCTATTTTATAAATTAGAAAACCAAGGTAGACAGAGGTGAAATGACTTATCCAAGGTCATGCCATGAGTGTCTAAGGCAGGGTTTGAACTCAGGTTTTCCTGACTTCAAATTCACAACCTAAACAAGCCTGAAGGCTATGAGATGAGTGAACCTGGTACTGGGTGGTTTCATCAAAGGATAAAGGAATGATCCTTGGAAGCATGATTATTATTCCAGTCAGCTGACCAGTAGCCATAGCTATTACAAAATGGATATTCTGAATGACTACACTGATTGTTCCATTACAGCTATAAATTTCATCTGGGGACTGTCCTTCCCGTTTTTTGTCCAAGCTAGCAAATTTTGTCATATCCTACAACTACATACTAATCTCTGATCATTGTGTGCTTAGCAAGTGAACGGTTGTACAGGTCAGAGAATTCTCTAGTTCTGTACTCCATACCAAATATCTGGTGTTATTTCAAGAACACTTGCTATGAATCAGCTGGGCTCTCTCAGTGCATCAAGCCCCAACATGTTACGGAAAATTATTCAATCTCACATGCATCTTTCCTAGCGTCCCTTTAGGCCCCTGTAAGTCAGGGCCCAGCTTCGCCTCATGAAAGTATAGGTATGGCAGGCACATTGTGAGTGGTTGTATTTCCAAACTGAGAATCTCCAGGAATAAATTCCATGACCATTGGTCAGAAGGGATCCCTAATTCATTATGTAGCTCAACAGGCTGATATTGATGACGAGGTCATCCTGTATGGACCACTGGTAGTCATTCAAGGAATCCTGGACCTCAGAGCACACTCTGACCCATTGGAATCTCAGGCCATCAGAAAGTCTCACACATTAATGAGGATTGTCCATGTGGAACTTACCCCCAACCCACCTAGACTTGATGCATTTGGAGTCTGGCCAGTGACTTGTTTTAATTGGCTCAACCAGTGGTATCCTTTTTATATAGTCCAGATTGTCACTGTAGTGTTGGCCTCCTCCCAGAGGTATCTAATTAAATCTTATTTACTTCTCTTAGTAAAGACACTCCAGTACTAGTCATGCCTCTAAGATGTGGCAATCAGTCATCCTCGTGAAGCAATAAGAACATTGGCAAGAAACGGGTTATTAAAGAAAGTGATTTCTATCATTCCTGGTTTATCATTTACAATTGTCTTACCTTCTTTCCCAAATTTTTTGTTATTTCATCGTTTCAGTCATGTCTGACTCTCTATTTGGGGTATTCTTGGCAAAGATACTATAATGGTTTGCCATTTCCTTCTCTAGCTCATTTTACAGATGAGGAAACTGAGGCAAACAGGCTTAAGTGACTTGCCCAAGGTCACATAGATAGTGTGGCCAGATCTGAACTCAAGAAGATGAGTCTTCCTGACTCCAGGCCCAGCTCTCTATGTGCTATGCCCCCTAGCCGCCCTTCCCAATATTAGAGAGAGTAATATGGTCCCTTTGCATTAAGATTACCAGTACCCAGGTACTCAGCTGTATCTATTTGCTTATAGAATGTAGTAATACCCATGCTTAAAACAGCGTGGTTTGATTTGCACATCAGTGAATACAGATATTTTGCATATCAGTATGTACTTTTATCCAATCCCTTCTTAAATAAATATTTGTGGCCACAAAGGTCAGGAATAGCAAGTGAAGGAAACAGTAAGGACAGCTATCTGGTATTGTGGCTAAGCCTTCCACAAAGGCACTCACTGGGACTTAGCCATAAAGGGATTCACGGACAGTCGTTTTTTTGTCCCAGAAGTGGTAGACACTACCATGGGGTACAGCCTTTTTGCTCCAGAGTGCCAATGCCTTATCTTTGGACAGGGGAGTGGTTACTAACCCAGTCAACTTGACCCTGTGCTCCAAGCTTTTGAGTCAACTAGGTGGCTAGCACTGAGCAGAGAGACAACAAGATCTGAGTTCAGATGTGACCTCAGACACTTGCTAGGTGTGTGACCCTGGACAAGTCACTTCACTTCTGTTTGCCTCAGTTTCCTCATTTGTAAAATGGGGATAATAATAGCACCTACCTTCATGAGTTGTTGTGAGGATCAAATAAGATAATTGCAGAGTACTTAGTATGATATTGGGCACATGGTAAGCATTATATGTATTAGTTATCATTATTATTATCTCTGTGGGGGCAAAGGTTCTTTTACAATGAGAGGCATGATTGAAAGATCTCAACTTAATGGGGTCATGAAGAGGCAGACACAACTGAAACAACTGAATAAAAAAAACAAAAACAAAAACCCAACATCTGCTTACAAAATCTTTCAGCCGTTACTTAATTCTAGTTCTTTTCCTCTGTTAATTATTTCCCATTTATCCTGTATGTAGGTGTAGATTATAAGCTCCTTGAGGGCAGGGACTGTTCTTTTGCCTCTTTTTATATCCCCAGTGCTTAGCACAGTGACTGTCTGTCACCCAGTATCTCTGGAAGTCTTTCCAAGCTCATGTTTGTTGCTTCTATGAGCTGGCACATAGTAGGCACTTTATAAATGTTTACTGATTGACAGCTTTGGAATCTGCTCTTGCAACAGAGTGACATTGAAAGATATTCTATTCATCCCCAAACATTCTATAACAAGAATATATTTATAACTGTAGCATTTAATTATTTGCATAAGATCAACCCATATTTTTAAAAATACCCATGATGCATGCTTTTCTCTTTATCTTGACTGGTTTCCCAACACGATATTCTTACCAATCAGTTTTGGACTAGAGCCACAGTAATTGCCCCAATGCCCTGAAATCTAGGAACAAGGGAAAGAAAGATCTTCCTCCTTCCATCTTAGATGGAAACAGGGGCTGGTCTTGCACAAAATCAAGGTCTTCTAGACCGGAAATAGAAGCTGAGGAAGAAGTCAAAGAAACTAATAATTGTTTGATCTTTGTAAAGACATTCTCACTTCATTTTACCCTCCGTGACTCAGTAATTTTTTCATAGCTGGTTGTATGTTGTCCTTTATGCTCAAAAAGGACCCAAATGACATCAGTACATTGGGGTCAGGGTCCAGTGTGTGCAACTGTGGCTAATCAGACCAATACAAGCTTAGAAAGACTCTACCACAAGTTGGCCCCACATTGTCCATATGAACATTTGGAATGGAGATGTCTCTAAATTTGCACATCTCACATTTCTTTTGAGCTACTACAATTTTGCTTTGCATTTTATCATGGTACCCTTAGGCCAAAAGAAATACCTAACAGTTCTATTTATTAAGTAGTCAGGTCCAACAATTGAATAAGTACTTATAACTTACTAGCCATCTGGAAAAATAATATACATAGATGGATAGAAAAAATAATATATTTCTTTCATTCTTAACCACAATTACTTATTCATGGCATGTTGTGCCAATTGGACACTGAACAACTCAAACCTTAGGATCAGAATGGACACCACCACTCTCATTTCCTGTTCCATGTTGATTTTTTTAGGGTACTCGCTTTTAAATCACAGCAACTACCCAAAACCCAGCTTCTCAAAGATTGATAGGACTTCTCAAATGGAAGCTTTAGCACTCAGCAGGAAATAGTTACTTTTATCCTCTGTCTTTTCCTAGAAAATTTAAAATATCCCTGAGAACCACAGCCTGAATAGGTGAAAAATAAAAGGCCATGGCCTTGATTATGAAGCCAGCGTAGGCCTTCTGTCTCTAAATTGCCTGGCTATTTTCAGGATGGCCTTGGATTGGACTTCTGAGAAACCACTCTGGACAGGCTATTCCTGGCCTGAATTTTGTTAAAAAATTTTTTTAACTTTTTATTCTCTGGAACCAGGCTTCTGCCTATAAAGTTTGCTATTTTCAGCATCAAGGAGAAGGCCTTGGAAATTGCCTGGGACTAATGGAAGCCCTATCAGAAACATCATTTGGTGAAAATTAACAATCTTAAAGCTAAAATGGAAGGAATTTGAATTAGAGGGAAATCACACAAATTTATTGCTCGTTTACCTCTGATAGTATTTCCAGTTTTCTGACATCTGCTGTACTATTTACCAAAACCAAATTAACTTTTGACATACTGGAAAAGACATGCTTAAATATTTACAACAATCATTAATGGGAAGAGCCCTATGTCTCCCAGACAAACTTTTATACTAAATATTAGCAATAAAT